GGATACTAACTTGGGTGCGGTGCTAATACTGCGGAGTGTTGATAATGCTGCTCGTGCGGCTGATCTTGGAGATCCAGTGTTAGCTGCACGTGCAGAGAGTGCAGCATGCTAATTCAGCAGACCTCGATGTTATTCATAAAGAAAGACCACAGGCTCAGTTTGGTGGCGAAGGTACTCTGCCGGGTTTATGGTCAGCAAAACACAGTACTGGTGCTTTGTCCAGTGGCTCACAGGGACACTAAGACGTGTGCCCGTGACAACGTACAGGCTCAGCATAACAGGATACTGTCCCCTCGGCTGATACAAAGATGCCCCTCCTATGACTTCTCCTTTTATACATTGATACAGACAAGTTACATATTACACTCCAGATATTGTTAATTCCCATCCTTACACCTCGTATCTGCTAGTTCAAACAAAACATCCTCATCCATTATCCTGCCATCCCATCCTTATTTTATAAGGGGTCCGTGTGTTCCTGTATAATCTCTTGGGGATTTGTTTACGTTCTTATTTGAGAACTCTGTGTGTTTTTGTACAATCCTCTCTGGTCAGGAACTAACTTACTTGGTCAGCCAATACATGGTGTGTTACTATTACTGCCAAGGCCTACTTTGGGTCACAGCCTTCCGTTCACACTGCTAGTTATGCCTAGGGCTCCAGCAAAGCCTACAGGTTGAATATGCCAACTAATATTTTTGTTACAATATCCATTTTTGTAACTAAGTAGGTGAAATTCTGTTTTACATCTGCATAACCCAGAGACATTGGTAAGACTGCACAAAATTAAAAGGCAGAATTTGACCCATTTAATAAAAGTAGGTTTTGTGACAATAATTTGTAAATCCGTTTTAGGAGAAATAAAATTATTTTGACAGGAGCACAGTGTATTGCCCCAGTAGTAAATCTAGATTGAATGTGTTGCAGAAAAGTCTTATCACCTTTAGGAACTCTGCTTCTGGCCAATCCGTGAAACAATATTATGACCTGTGGAGGCTCAGAACATTGGATGTTGCCACACATGGTCTCTAGAAAGGGGAGAGGGTAGCTTTTTTTTTAACTTCATGATTGTTTCATAGAAAATATTTTTATCCTTGAAGAACATTATCTTCTTCCTCCTTTCTGAAAGCAAATGGCCTAGATGGTAGTCACCAATATTGTGTCAATTTGTGTCAATTGCTTGTATAGGTCTCAAAAGTGGCAGTGGTGTTATGTCATAAAGAGATGTCAGAGAGGGCCCCTGGTCACTTGGCATGCCAAGAGCAAAGAGCCTGATGTACATGATGGATCAAAAAACCAAAATAGCTGACTAAAAGTGCAAATTAATTTCTTTTGACAGAACAAACCTGTTATGGCTTTTGGACTCATAACAATTACCCTGTGTGTGGCCTACATTGGTTATTTACATGCAACACAAGAGAATAAAAAGGACCTCTATGAAGCTGTTGACAGTGAAGGAGCCAGGTATATGAGGAGGAAGACTTCCAAGTGGGATTAAAGAAGCTGCTTAATAACAGAGAAAGAGAGAGGAGTAATTGGCAATGTAGGCATCTGAATTGTTAATGTTAAATTAGGTATCTGCTAACTTTTCTATGCAATTCTTGGAATGATGTTTGTAAAATTTAATCCAATTTCCATTCCGTTTTACCATGCCATGCCTGTACCTATAAACTTTACAGAAGAGATACAAAGTAATAAAGTGTTAAGAACAGTTGTCTGAGTTGATCATTACAGTGTATAGATAAAAGAAATAATTGTGAGCTGGAGACTATAGTGATAAGTGACGTAAGAAATCTTTGTGATAGTTTAACTCATCTTTTTATGGTCTGCTTTGGCAAGAAGGAAAGCAGTTTTAAAATTCAAGGCACATTGTCTGTGGGAAATGGTAGTTTGAGCTGCAAAATCTGCATTTTTAATATTGCATTTGCAACTAAAGATATTTTTTAAAAAGACAAAACATCTAATAATTTTTTTAAAGTCCAGAAGTCTGTAAATACTGATCTAAAACAACCATTCAAAATGCTAATTTACTCTCTTATATAAATCCTTTGTTAAGACATCCTTTTCTGTTCATTTGAGTGACTGGTTTTATTTCTAAATTTGGTTTAAAAACTACATATACCTTCATTGGAAAATATGTGCCATCAATTTCTTGTTAGTCACTGGAATCAGGGTAGTCTAAAACACAGGAGATTCTAAAATGGTGAGGGTATTTTCTGTATTTAAAATGTAGTTAATCTATTTTTATATTAATAAAATTTACAAGTTCTACAGTTTCTGAAATAATTGCACACACACAAAACAAGTTTACAAGAATATTAAGGTAAAAAAGTCAAGCATTCACAAGTTAGGAAATGCTAGAGTTAAGGTTGCTGTTCAACCTTAATTCAGCCTCCTTGTGTATCTGCATTATAATCCAGTCTTTAATTAGGTGATCATGTACTATTTTTTCTGTAGAACCCCTACTTCTTTCCATTTCCTAACTTTTGAGTGCTTGATTTTGCAACCTTAATAATTTTCTTTTAACATAGTTTTTTTTTGTCTCATTTCCTATGTTTTTAACTAAGCCAACTGATAAAACTCTATAGAAATTCTATCATGTGGTGTCATATTGACACCCGTATGAGTCATCAGCAGGGTTGGAAACTTTATAGCCACTTCACATGACTCTGTCATGTGCGCTAACGGTAGGTTGTCATCCTCTGAATAGACTCGCACTAGAGGGGAATGATGTACGTACTTTTCTAGTGGGTTTCACTGATATTTGTTGACAGAAAAGGAATTGTGAAACACAAGAATTTTGTGTTTCATTCCAAGCTCTAGTGATCACACAGTCTTCTGCTCATTCCCTTAAGAATGACCCTTTATGCCCCATCCACTTCAACCTGTCCCAGTCCTGTCTCTTCCCCTCCCCTGGCTCCTTGTCCCAGTCCCATTCTCACCTAGCCAGTCCCAGTTTCCACTCCTAAAACATTTTGTCCTGGTCTTGCCCCTCCAGAATCCTGTCCCAACCCCTCCCACTCCCAGTTCTCCCCCTGCACTCTGGCTCCTCACTAGATCTGGCTCCTCTACCATCTCAGCTCCTTTTCCCTGTCCCTTGCCCTACTAGTTATCAGTTCCAGTCTCCTCTGGCTCCTCATCTGATCTCAGTCTCTCCCTCCTAGCTCCCAGTCCTCACCTATTTCCCTCCCTGTTTCCCAAGCTCCTTGCCATCCAGTCACAGTCCCCCTTCTCAGTCTTCTTGCCCAGCCAGTCAGTCATCTCCCACATCCCAGTGCCTAGTTGTCCTATCTTCTGCCAGCCTCCAGTTCAAGTATCCCCTCTACCTCTCCATGCAGGCTCCTTATCCCAGTCTACTCCCCTTACCTGTCTTCCCCGCTCTGGATATGGTCCCCTCTGCATTTGAATCAGCAGCTTGTTCCTTCACCCTGCGTGGACCCAGCAAAAGGGTCAGCGAGAGCAAATGAATGACAAGCTCTCTGCTGTCAGTCCAGCTGCCCTGACCTGGACCTGTCACAGCCCAGAGCTGTCACAGCTGGAAAAGCCCTGCTCAGCCCTGGGTTGAAGCATGCACAGTGCAGAGAGAATCTTCGGGATATTTAGTTATGAAAATCTAAGAAGTCTCTACTGAGCATGTGGAAACTGATTTCTCAAAGACTCATATAACTTGGCCAAATGTGGGTGGATTTTCAGTGACAGCAAAAAGCATGTTCCCAACACAAAGACCATCCTCTTCCAATTTTCAAGTCCCTGCTCCAAGGCCTGGGGGCACTACTAAAAGGTGGCTAGAATTTTTTAACATGGGCAAAACAAGATATATTTTTTCCTAGCCTTTTGTTTTATAGGACAGGATAAGAAAGAGCCTTGAGACTAACTCTTTCATTTAATAACTATTATGTGGAATTTTAACCAGATGATTCTTTCATTCATTGAAATATATTAAGCCTACATTGTTTCAATGGGCTTCAATCCTAGTGAGCAAGAACTACTCTGAAGGGGCTTGTGATATATGGGAATAATGCAAGAGTGGGTCCTTACTTATTTTGTGGTGTGATGGTGACCTTAGAAGTGAGCGGTAGTAACAGTGAAAGAAGGGGAGGGGAAGGGTTTAGAACTGAGTCAAGGAGAAGGGTGTGGTGAATGCAGCTATGAGACTATGTAGTGGAAGGTCTGGCTGCAAGGGCAGGTGTGGTGTTTGTTGTTGGAGTGGGGACTAATTAGTCAAACTGATCCAAATCTATATGGATTGAAGGAGGAATGTTCAGCCTAGTTTTTCATTTTTTCAGCTCTCGGTCTTACTTACCTCCTTGTAGCAATTACTTTTTAAACAACTCTTAATAATACATAGATGATATACATAAAGTGCAGAAAACAGTTTGAGTGCAAAGATGCATACAGTACATCTTTGTACAGAAGATGGACAGTACAGAAACATGGCTGACATTCGTCAGTGTAAATATCTGATTCCTGCAAATACAGCATACGGTTACAGCAGTGATCAAAAGGGTGAACTCAAATCTCTAAAGCACAGCTTCACTTATGAGAACTGGGGATACACAAACAGCACCAATAATGTTTAGTTTTGTCCTATTTCTGTAGATTTCCTTTTCAGCAGTGGTATTGAAGTTTACAAGAAAATTCCTACCTTGACAAAAATAAGCCACAATGGTTTTTTGAGTGGAGACTCTTTGCTACCCCATGGCACCCACGAGTCATTCACCTCTTTAACAGAAAATACTATGATCCAAATATTTGAAACAGTAACCATTGCTAAATACTTTTAAAATCCCTTTAAACTGCTTGGATTTGAGAGGAATTGTTGCCACGCCTTAAGTAATAAAAAATGTGATGAGATGCTCCTTAACACTACAACTGCTTTTGTGAGCAAATCTTGTCCTGCCTAGTAACAGTTGCTAGGTATGAGGTTGGTTTAAGGCTGTAAGAGGTCAGTTAATAAATCCTCTCTCATCATCAGTCCGCATTATGTTATTGAGCTCCTCACCACATGTGCTTCTTAACCTGCAGGCAAATGTTTTAGACATCATCCTAATAGTGAATGATTTTATCTTTTAACTGGACTGCATGTTTTCTGTAGTAACAGTAAGCATTTTGTCTGCAAGGATTAGGGCAGTTTGGACATTTTAGTAACAACCTTGAATATTTTATACAACCATGATTAGAAATCCGGATTTGAGCTCCTTTGTTTGTTGTGCTGTATGCTCAAAAATAATACCACCACCACCTACACCTGCTACTTTTGAACGGATTCGGGAGTATAAGCCTTACAAAACACGGTATTACACTCATCGGGATATATTAGGTAAGTTGATTCCTGAATGCTTCATTTGTAATTCTCCAATTGGGGATATCCAAAACGCTTATATATGCCTTTATTTTTGACATTCACATCTTCTTGCAATGGCCTTTCCTGGTTGATCAGAGATGGATACATGTACTTATTCATGAATATGTACAAATACTCCAGATCAAATAATTACTCTTCTCGGGGTATTAAAGATTTGCTCACACTGGAGCAAAAAAAAGAAAGCTATGTATGAGCGTGTTTGAAAATAGTTGTAAGTAAGGCTTAAAAGGATTGAGAAGAACCATGCTTGACAAAGATTTTTTAAAAACTCTTTAGTAATGCAAAGTTACAATACAAAACTGAAGTCTGCTTTTACATTTCCTGTTTCAGGATCTGGGCCTTAGTTAGTCACTCTACAAGGGTTCAGTGCAAAGTCCACAGGAGTTTCTCCCTTGACATCAATGGACTTTAGATCAAGCCCTAAACAGATGAGAGAGAAATAGAAATCATGCTAGAGACTACTGTGTAATGACTGTGGCCACAACTACACTTCTACCCCGATATAACACGACCCAATATAACACGAATTCGGCTAGAACACGGTAAAGCAGCGCTCTGGGGGCTGGGGCTGTGTGCTCCAGCGGATCAGCGCATCAGTGTGTCTGGCTCCAACACGCTGCTCTAAGCGGCGTGTTAAGGGTGCCGGGCCGGGACCGAGGGGTTGGATAAGGGGCAGAGGGTCTCAGGGGGTGGTCAGTGGCAGGAGCTGTGGGGGGGCACTTTTGGGGGCTCCACAGGCCCAGAGTGGCCTGGGTGATTAGCGGGGGGCTGGGAGAAGCCCTCTCCACTTCCCTTGCCCCGGCCCCAGCCATGTCGCTCAAGGAAGGGGGCTTGGGGGAAGGGATCCCGGCATTTACCGGCAGCAGCGGAAGTGGAGCAGCCCAGCCCCAGCCCCAGCCTGCTCCACTCCACCAGCTCCCAGCTTCCCGCTGCCAGTGGGTGTGGGGCCTTTCCCCAACCCTCCACCCCCAGCGACACGGCTGGGGCCGGGGCAAGGAAAGCGGGTAGAGGTGTATGTTATAACTTTGCTGGGTATAACTCTTCAAAAAATAGTTAAACTCTTTACTACCAGAACTGTGTACAGGGCCTAAACAAGCCCCTGAAACAACAGTTCCTGACAGGACTCTGGCATACTTATACAGTAAAAGCTGTGTTATCCAGCACTTTACCAACCAGAAAGCTCTAGAAACTAGCATTTCTGATATCTTCCAATACAAGTCTTCAATCTAGTAACCGGGACCAATGCAGAAGCTAAGTAGAATCAATGCCAAAGTTATTCTGGACCCGAGTATTTCCAGGAGCAGTCGGACTATGCTCGAGTTAGCCGAGAAGAGCCAAATGCTGTTCTTTCTGTTTGTATCCGCCATTGTGATCTGTTGGTTTATTACTCTGTGTATAGTCCTGTGTTTATCATAAAATATCAACACTACCCTACCATTATGGCATCCAAAATACCAATGAAAAGCAAAGGAGAGAAGCACAAGAGAGTTGTGTTGACATTAAAACAGAAAATAGATATTTGTACATGTTTTGAAAAGGGCAAGAAAGGAATGTTTTGATGCAAGAGTACAATGTTGGCTTGTCCATGATATACAACATCAAGGTTCAGAAAGGACAATTGCTCAAATTTTTGCTAGTTGTAAGTCAAATAAAGCTGTTGAACATCGCTATACTCTGCATACACCTAAATTAGACCAGATAGACAGTGTTTTATACGAATGGTTTTCATTGAAACAATGGGAGTGTGCCCCTATCTCTGGCCCAATGCTCGTTGAAAAGGCAAAAGATTTTTATAAGCAAATGGAATTGACTGAGCCATGTGCATTTTCTGAACGATGGCTTTTGTGTTTCAAACTTCGTCACGATATTAGAAAGCTAGATGTATCCGGTGAACAAAAATTGGCTGACCATGAAGTGAAATAAATATTGTGAATTTTTTAGAAATTTAGAAATTTAATCGCTGAACATGATCTATCCCCTGAACAAATGTATAATGCTGATGAAACTGGCCTATTTCGGTGATGTTTGCCAAATTCTACACTAGCAGGTGCAAGCGAATTTAACGCTGCTGGTTTTAAGCACAATAAAGACAGACTAATTGTTCTTACGTGTGCTAATGCCGCAGGCTCGCATAGAATAAAACTTTTGGTGACTGGAAAATATAATCATCCTAGAGCTTTCAAAGGTATTGCACATTTACCTATTGTTTACAAAGCACAAGGTAATTCATAGATGGACAAAGAATTTTTTTATGATTGGTTTCATCATGTTTTTGTACCTGCAGTGAAAGAATATTTTAGAAAAATAAGCTTACCCGAAGATAGCAAAGTTATTCTATTGCTAGGCAATTGTAGAGCTCACTCTCAAGAAACAGAGTTAGTGTCTGGTAGTATTTTTACCATCTTCCTGCCTGCCAACGTTACTTCATTGATTCAACCTATGGACCAGGGCCAAATGAAATGTTATTACAGAACAGATTTCCTAAGAAAGCTGATCAATCATGAAGGCACTATCCAGGACTTTCAATCTCATTATAACATAAAAGATGCAATTTTTAATGTTGCTTGTGCCTGAAATTCTGTTAAAGTGAAACATTAAAGAGCTTAGATAAAATTGTAGCCTAATGTTATGTTTGCAGACGTCTCTTCTGATGAAGATGAATTTAAAGGCTTTAAAGTAAGAGTTAGAAAAAATACATTAGCACAAATTCTTGAAATGGTGACGGATAGTCCGTCTTCACACCCAATCAACAAACTTCATGAAAGTGAGATAGGAGAGTGGGTTGAAACTGACAAGGAGGTTGAAGTGACACATACTGTTACTGATACAGAAATAACAGAGAATGTTTTGAATCCTGAAAAGTCAAAGGACACTGATAAAGACAGTGAAGAAGATTTTAGTGAAGAGGACAAAACAACTTGGGGAAAGGCTTCTTCAGCTTTTGTTACAATAATTAAATTTGCAGAAAGGCAGCCATGTTATACTGCCCGGGAGGTTATGCAATCACACATTCTGCACTCTAGTTTTATGCAAAAGAGGCAGAAGAAAATTAAGCAAGCTGATGTCAGGGATTTATTCAAAAAAAGCAGCTTCAAGGGTGTGTCATAGGGTCCGTACAGATTCAGCCCAATCTCCTACATCTTCTACATCTACAATGACAGGTTTCAGAGTAACAGCCGTGTTAGTTTGTATTCGCAAAAAGAAAAGGAGAACTTGTGGTACCTTAGAGACTAACCAATTTATTTGAGCATGAGCTTTCGTGAGCTACAGCTCACTTCATCGGATGCATACCGTGGAAACTGCAGCAGACTTTATATACACACAGAGACCATGGAAACAATACCTCCTCCCACCCCACTGTCCTGCTGGTAATAGCTTACCTAAAGTGATCATCAGGTTGGGCCATTTCCAGCACAAATCCAGGTTTTCTCACCCTCCACCCCCCCCACACAAATTCACTCTCCTGCTGGTGATAGCCCATCCAAAGTGACAACTCTTTACACAATGTGCATGATAATCAAGTTGGGCCATTTCCTGCACAAATCCAGGTTCTCTCACCCCCTCACCCCCCTCCCAAAAACCACACACACAAACTCACTATCCTGCTGGTAATAGCTCATCCAAAGTGACCACTCTCCCTACAATGTGCATGATAATCAAGGTGGGCCATTTCCAGCACAAATCCAGGTTTTCTCACTGTCAAGGTTCCTCCCCCACTCTGAACTCTAGGGTACAGATGTGGGGACCTGCATGAAAAACCTCCTAAGCTTATCTTTACCAGCTTAGGTCAAAACTTCCCCAAGGTACAAAATATTACACCCGTTATCCTTGGAATGGCCGCTACCACCACCAAACTAATACTGGTTACTGGGGAAGAGCTGTTTGGACGCGTCTTTCCCCCCAAAATACTTCCCAAAACCTTGCACCCCACTTCCTGGACAAGGTTTGGTAAAAAGCCTCACCAATTTGCCTAGGTGACTACAGACCCAGACCCTTGGATCTTAAGAACAATGAAGAATCCTCCCAACACTTGCACCCCCCCCTTTCCTGGGAAATGTTGGATAAAAAGCCTCACCAATTTGCATAGGTGACCACAGACCCAAACCCTTGGATCTGAGAACAATGAAAAAGCATTCAGTTTTTACAAGAAGACTTTTAATAAAAAATAGAAGTAAATAGAAATAAAGAAATCCCCCCTGTAAAATCAGGATGGTAGATATCTTACAGGGTAATTAGATTCAAAAACATAGAGAACCCCTCTAGGCAAAACCTTAAGTTACAAAAAAGATGCACAGACAGAAATAGTTATTCTATTCAGCACAATTCTTTTCTCAGCCATTTAAAGAAATCATAATCTAACACATACCTAGCTAGATTACTTACTAAAAGTTCTAAGACTCCATTCCTGTTCTGTCCCTGGCAAAGACCAGCATACAGACAGACACAGACCCTTTGTTTCTCTCCCTCCTCCCAGCTTTTGAAAGTATCTTGTCTCCTCATTGGTCATTTTGGTCAGGTGCCAGCGAGGTTACCTTTAGCTTCTTAACCCTTTACAGGTGAGAGGAGCTTTCCCCTGGCCAGGAGGGATTTCAAAGGGGTTTACCCTTCCCTTTATATTTATGACACGCCCCCCAAATCTCAGCTAGGGTGGAACACTGGCTGGGATTTCTTCCTGGAGCTCTAGGAAAAACAGAGTTAATAAGACACATGCATCTCTAAATATACTACCAAGTACATAAAGACTAACAATATTTTCCACATCTCAAGGACGATTTTAACCAGTTGATTCTGGGAAACTTTCACGGGAGAGTGCATCAGCCACTTTGTTAGAAGCTCCTGAGATGTGTTGGATGTCGAAATCAAAATCTTGGAGAGCTAAACTCCACCGAAGAAGTTTTTTGTTAGTTTCTTTGACGGTGTGAAGCCACTTCAGTGCAACATGGTCGGTTTGCAGG